GTAATAGCCTTGCCAGAGGTGACTGCAACTGGAAAGTGTTGGACATCTACACTGCCAGCGACCATCATGCGATATTCTGGGAAATATCAAGCGACCAGAACCCCAAGAGACCAGTCAAGCAGTCTAACATCGTTGGCTGAAAGGTAAAATTTTTTGACCCAGAAGCATTACTAATAGCCCTCGATGGTGATCCGATCAACATTGGATGTGCAGAAGAACAGACTAAGGACCTGATAAGGAGAGTAACACATGCTTGTGATGCCAGTATGCCTCGTAAACGTGGCATAAAGTCGAGACCTTCGGTCCATTGGTGGAACGACCACATCAGCGCCCTCCGTAAAGAGTGTCATAAGAAAAGAAGAATCTCTCAGCGCGGCTATCAACGGCCCAACTCAGTGGAGCTGATCGCAGAGTACAAAAAGGCGCGTCGTGAACTGAATAAAGCCATCAAAGAGAGCAAAAGAAGATGCTGGAAAGAGCTTATATACGAAGTGGATAAAGACGTGTGGGGTAGGCCTTATAAGGTGGTTATGACCCACCTGAAAAAACAACAAATGCCATCATCTACGTGCCCTCAACTTCTTCAGAAAATCGTCACTGCACTGTTTCCACAGCAACGCAACTTAGATAACCAGTTGGCGCCAGGCGAATTGGACGACATCCCACCTGTCACTAAAGAAGAACTGCTGGAGGCTTGTAACCGTGTAGGGAATAATAAAGCGCCGGGATTGGACGGAATCCCTAATTTAGCCTTGAAAACCATCATAAAGGCAGCTCCAACATTATTCCTAGACGCTTATAATGCATGTCTCAAGGAGGGGACTTTTCCTCGTAAGTGGAAACAGCAACGATTAGTACTGTTACTTAAAGGGAAGAAACCACCAGAAGAACCGTCTTCTTACCGACCACTTTGCATGCTAGATACGGCGGGTAAGATATTTGAGCGCATAATTCATCAACGAATAGATGCAGTAGTCGACCCACTCCTGGCAGACAACCAGTATGGATTCCGGAAAGGACGATCAACCCTGGATGCGATCAATCTGGTTGTTAGCACGGCTAAAGAAGCGATCGCAGGAACGAGATGGAAGGGTGGCGCAAAGAAGTATTGCCTGGTGGCGGCATTAGACATTAATAACGCCTTCAATTCCGCCAACTGGAACTGCATCATGCAAGCTCTTCGAGAGAAAAACATCCCAGAATACCTGTGTAGAATAGTGGCCAGCTATTTTACCGATAGAGTTCTTAAATACGACACGAAGAATGGTCTAAAAGAGTATGATATTACCGGAGTTGTACCCCAGGGCACTGTACTTGGTCCACTGCTGTGGAATATCATGTACGATGGCCTATTGAGATTGAAATTGCCAAGAAGTATAAAACTCGTAGCATATGCAGACGACGTAGTCGTAGTAATCGTCGCTAAACACCTTGACGAGATTAACAACATGTTCGACATCACCTTCGAGCGAGTCCATCGGTGGATGAATACGGTAAACCTGCATCTGGCTACACACAAAACTGAGGCAGTGCTTATATCCAGCAGAAAAGTGTTAGAGACCATCAAGCTGAAAGTAGGCGAACAAGAAATCACATCACAACCTTACATCCGATATTTGGGAGTGATGCTTGATGCCCGTCTCAACTTTAAACAGTAAGTGGAACACGTCAGTGCCAAAGCGTCAGTAGTGAGGGCTAGTCTCGCACGACTGATGCCGAACGTTGGAGGCCCAAAGGAGAGCAGGAGACAACTACTATCATCAGTAGTCCTATCGGTGCTCACATATGGAATATTTATTTGGGCAGACGCGCTGAAGTTGTAAGAATCATGGAGAAAAGCAGGACCAGTATATAGACTGAGCGCTGTAAGACTAGCCAGTGCATTCCGCACGATATCAGAAGTAGCAGTGTGTGTCATTTCCGGAACTCTACCGCTCAGAGTTCTATCTGAGGAAAGACGGAACCTTTACCCACGAAAGAGGTCAACCACACTAAGTGCCGAGGAACTCAGAGCTGAAGAACGGCAAAACAGCATTGCACGATGGCAATCGCAGTGGGACGCCGCGACAACAGGAAGATGGACACACCGTCTCATACCGAAGATCGACATTTGGCTTAACCGGAATCACGGTGAGGTCAATTACCATCTTACGCAGATGTTGTCAGGAGATGGGTGTTTCTGAGAGTATCTACACTGCTTCAAGCACGATGACTCTTCGGAGTGCCCGACCTGCCCAGGAGTTGCTGAAGATGCGGAGCACGTCTTCTTTGTATGTCCTTGTTTCGACCCACAGCGTGAAGAGCTGGAGAGGATCCTGAACCAGAGATTGCAACCAGATTCACTAGTGGAAGCAATGTTGTCATCAGAAGCTGCCTGGAACGCTACCAACACGTTTGCAACAGAAGTCCTCAACGACTTGCGTTCCACCGAAAGAAGAAGAGCAAATAGCAGAAGATAGAAGGAAGGTAGTTAACACCTTAGCCACCAGAAGGAAGAGCAGTAGCTAGATCCTCCACTCACGAAGTAATGCCTGACGGCGGTTTCCATGAGGGATTAGTGGAAAGAGGAAAGGGGTTTAGGGTTTAGTGGGTAGGGGCGTTAGCGTCGAGTTTTAGTATGACGCTGCGTCGAGTCGCCACATATCCAGGCCAACAACTATGCCTAGAATCCGTAAAAAGATTATCTGGTAACGAAAATTTCGGGTGGTAGTTCGCCAGGCTGATAAAATCGGGACATTTGTAGTGTCTCAATCCTCCCTGCCAAGCCAAGACTACCCCGTCAAATTTTGAACCGAGCTAGCTCTTTGAATGAAATGGGTGAGTCTTCACCGGGTATAGAAATAATAGGATGATAGGAGTTAGTGGTGAGTGATCACCTAGGAACGATGCTTTGATGAAATAGTAGGAAGAGAAGTTGGTGAGTAATCACTTGTTGATGAGAAATTGGTGAGTGATCACCTATTAAAGAAGAGGTATGGTGAGTAGTCACCTGATAGTGGTATGGCTTGGTGAGTAATCTCCTGATAGAAGTGGATAAAAAGTTTGGTGAGTGATCACCTGATAGTGGTAACTAGAAAATTTAATGGATAGATCGGTGAGTAGTCACCTGGAGAATGAATGTATGCATGGATTGGTGAGTCATCACCTGAAAAGAAATTAAAAAATTAGAAAATTAAAATAAAATTTTTACTGTAAAGTTGGTGAGTTGTCACCTGTAAGTGAATAATTAATTTAATAGAACGTTTCCTCAGCAATTGTTCGAAACTCCGGTCTAGACTTCGATCTATTTGAATTGTGCTAAATAAAAGAAAATAAGATTATTATAACTGTTGCTTAATTTTAGCTTGTTGTTTGTTTGTTTGTTTTTTTTTTTTTTCGACTGGTCTGCCGCTGTAAATAAAACAAATTAAACTGGCAGATAAAATATTAGATGAATGATGCTTACATAAATATTAATATAAATGATTATTTCGTTTTTATTTTAACGTAGTAAACAATTTTTGAATTTCATAATGTTATAATATGATGTACTTGGAACATATTTGAAGTATTAGCAGTAATAAATTTTTAATAAGCAAAATAATAATAAAATAATGATAATAATAAAAAAAAATTAGAATAATGAAAAATGATAAAAAAAAATTTTATCTGAGGATGAAATGAAACTTCCTGAACCGTAAGGGAGGGTTCACTTCCTTGTAGCACGAAGATGGGCCTCGTGGAAGAGCTCCATATCCTCTTGGGTATACTTGGTACCAATCCAGTCCTTGTATTTGGGGTAACGCTTGTTACAGGCCCGGCACAGGGGGTCGAAGAATTGGATTGCCACTCTATATCCTGGACAGCGTCCACGGAAATGGTCTTTTGTCTCTTTTTCGTGAGGGCGGAAACATGTTTCCGTTGTGACTTGATCTTGATAGCAGACATGACACATATCTGGCCTCCATGGTTAACGACATTCAGCAATTTTGTGGTCGCGTTGCCAGCAGTTTTGACATCCAGTTGAAAAGAACAGTGACTGTGCTTGAGTGGTCACTGTCTGGGTCCACGATTCTTGGAGTTGACTGTGAAGAATCCTGGGTCGAACGGCAGCACAAGTGCTACGGATGGCTTTACAAAATATCTGGTAATCCATGAAACGGATTCCATTATGAACAGCTATCTGGTTAGCGTCTGCGGCAGCTGGTGATGAAGTTGCTGTGTCTGTATCTTTCAAGAACTGCTGGTATGCAGCCTCTGGTGATATTGGTGCACTGTACTAAGGTGCTGGTATTGTCTGGGAGTACGGTAACGAATGTGCGTACGTTACCATTACTTGCTTGGATGGCGTATTCTTCCTGATAGCTCCCGTCGCACGGAGGAGGTTTGACTGCTCCTGGGTGAGCTCTCCTCGAGCTTCTCGATGGGCCAATAATGTTGATGGAGGATACTGAGTACCCTCTGGGATTGGTCTGGACGTTGACGTGTGAGGCTTGAGTCCAGCGTTTGATCCACACGCTGTTGCTGGTTGACTAGCTAATACTGAGATCACTGCCTTGTTATTTGGCGTGACTCCGATGTTGTAGACCGTCCTGGTGGTCTGCTCCTCAGTAATCTGGAGAGGCAACGCCTCTTCGTGATGTATTTGATGGTGAATGTTTTCACCTAATTGCTTGACAATAGGTTCCATGATTTCCAGTCGATGGTTGACGGCAACGACTTCTTCAGCTACGTCACAGAGATTTAAACGCTGTTGGTTGGATGTCTCAGCTAAATTTGTGACATCGCGTTGTAGTGTCTGGATGTCACGTGTGTTTCTTTGTAGTTGTATACGGACATGCTCAATGCCCTGGAGTATATCATTGACCCAGGAGTGATACTGTGTGGAACATGTTTATGAACTGTCTTTTCATCATCTCCCGGGGGTTCGAGTGTGCATTCTAGATCTGCGTAAACTACAAACGGCACAGTATCTTTGGACTTAAAATCTTTGAATTTCAAAATCTTATTTTTTTCATTAGGAAACTCCATACGAACTTTGTTGGATTTGAAACAATCTACTCTGTGCTCTTCATAACATGTTTCTAATTTGAAATGATTCAAACAACGATCACAAAAGTACAACTTATGTTTACCTAGAGATATTTGACTTCTAATTAATGCAGAAAGATCATGTATCTATGCAAAGTGATAGACTGACTCAATATTATCTAAATTATCAGTATAATTTACACTTTTTTTAATCATCAATAAATGAATTGTCGGTATTTCTGACTCGAAGTTACTTAAATATAACGGTATGATAGTACTTTTCTCAAACTTTTTACCTGTGAATTCTGACTCTATACCATATACATTAATGCTAAGATCATTTATTTTTTCAAATTTTGGTACATCGTTAAGTTTCATTGAAAATTGAATACCTTCATAGTTCAATCTTTCGCTGAAGTGATGATATCTTGTAGGGCTTTCCGGAACCTATACTGGTGGATGCATGGCGGCGTTGACACACCACAGGAAGCAGAACTCGTCATTGTTTTGGATGTTCGTAACCATTCTTCCTGATAATATCCCTTGGTAATCTGACGAAGGTGGAGTTTCCAACTTGGGTTGGTGTGAATCGTGACATGGTCACCATCAAGCTGTTGGGTCCAAGTAGACTCCATCCGGAACCCTCATGCTCAAAATCTTCAATTATTTGAAGTAATTTATCGTAGACATGTTGACTAAACCAATCCTGAAGAGATGTGGCAGGGAGAATCTCACGGCTTTTGGTGATGAAACACTTTCGCTCTTCTACATCTTCTTGTGGTTTCCGGAATGTGCAAAAGAGTTCAACATTCACTTTCAACCTTGTGAGATCTCTCAAGACACTTTATACCTTGTTGATGATGATATCCCGTGAGGCCTGGAGAAATGATGCTGGATCTTTGTGATGTTGGTTGATAATACATCCAGTCTGGATGTTACCAGCGAAAGCATTCTCCAGGTTCTGCCATTTGACTCCTTGGTTGAGATCTCCACCAACTACTTAGTTACGGAGTCTGGAGAACTGATCGGCAAACCAGTTAAGTTGGTTGATGTGTGCTTGAACACTTCGTCTCACTTGAATTGTTGTTCCAGGATCCAGTAATATTGTGTTGAAGTATTCAATGGTCTCGTTACATACTCGTAAACACCGTTCACGATGTTCATCATCAATAAGCTGTGCTCCCAACAGATCAGCATATGAGACTGCAATAGTTTCTACCAAGTTTTTGAAAGCCCCAATAAGGTTATGTTGAGCCATTTTGGGATGACAAACACTTCACTACTGTCTATTTACACAATATTGAAGGTTATGCACACTGTTTATAGGTTATATACACTGTTTATAGGTTATGTACACTTTTAAAGGTTATGTGACTGTTTATAGGTTATGTGCACTTTTAAAGGTTATGTCACTGTTTATAGGTTATATACACTTTTAAAGGTTATGTCACTGTTTATAGATTATGTATACTACACAATAGTTTTAGCACACTGGACTATACTCGTGTACTTTACAACACTGAACTTCACTATATTTATATAACACTGAATACTATCGATCACGAGAGATGTTTCACTGGAGACGTGTACTTCGTTTTTGTGAAGTACGCTCTCGGCGAGCTGCTTATATAGGCAGAAAATACTGCGCAGTTACCCCCACTCCTCTACCTCAAAACCGGTATGATGACGTTATCTACTGCGCAGTAAGAAAATTCTAGAACAAAATGAGTCATCTACTGCACAGTTAGAAATAGAACAAAGAAAACTGCACAGTTACGCGACCTTGAACAGGTTCAGACCTGTCTGATGACGTCATCTACTACGCAGTTAGAAAATTCTAGAATGGTATGAGTCATCTGATTCGTGGAAATTTCCCCCACCCCTTTCACAAAACAAGTCTAAACCTGTTTGATGACGTCATCTACTACGCAGTTAGAAATAGAACAAAGAAATCTGCGCAGTAACGCGACCTTGAACAGGCTCAAACCTGTCTGATAACGTCATCTACTACGCAGTTAGAAAATTCTAGAACAGAATGAGTCATCTGATTCGTAGAAATTTCCCCCACCCCTTTCACAAAACAAGTCTAAACCTGTTTGATCACGTCATCTACTACGCAGTTAGACATAGAACAAAGAAAACTACGCAGTTAGGAATAGAACAACGAGACCTACGAAGTTACCGTGACCTTGAACAGGTTCAGACTTGTCGGATGACGTCATCTACTACGCAGTTACAAGTAATGCAAGCTGCCACCAGATGGCACTGCGTAAAATCCTTCTCGAAAGTAGTTGTCATAACTTCATTTTAAATATATATAACATGGATATATGATACTACAAATGCGTAATCCTGAACCATTGATCTGTTATGGCCGAGCCGAAGGCGGGTTAATAGTTGAGGATGCTTTTTTCTAACCTCAAAATGTTGAACTTAAATTCAAAATGGCGGAAGTCAGACTCAAAATGGCGGAAATCAGATTTAAAATGTCAGCTACCAGATTCAGATAGCAGCCACCAGATGGCGGATAGCAGCTGTGAGATGGTGGATTCAAAATGGCGGATTCAAAATCAAAATGGCGGATTCACAACTCAAAATGACAGCTTCCAGATTCAGATAGCAGTCACCAGATGGCAGATAGCAGCCACCAGATGAAAACAAAAACTGTTGTGACGTTCTGGCAAAAGATTTGAATTATGAATCGATAATTTATTTTAAATGTAATAAACGAATTTCTCGGAATTACATTCCAACGGAAATTTTAGACGATAAGAAGTCATCGCGGCCCGCGAAACGTTAATATACCCACGTCAGCATGGGATCCGGGCCTCGACGACGTTCCCGAAGTGTAACCTGAGCCCAACAATGGCTGCCACAGATCATTTTGTATAATTAAATAATTAACTAAGTCAGTCGACTCGTCTTCGAGCTCGGACCTTGTCCACCGGCTTCTATCTAATTTTGTTCGTATCATTAAATTTTTATATTATAATGTTAATCTTGACTAATTATTTCTAATAGGGGCGAGCGCTTCTTAGCGTTCTACCCTATTTCCTAATATTTCTATAGGGGCGAACGCTTATTAGCTGTTCCACCCTGCTCCTATCAGTAAAAAAAATTAAAAATAATCATATTAATAAAAATCATGGTAAGAGAGATCATCTGTGCGGCCCACCTGGGGTCTATCGACTCCCTAACGAGACTAACCTGGGATTTTTAAAATTATTGAAAGTCGTTATCTGGAAGACCCAAAATTCCAGAACGTTACAACGGATTCGAAATGGCGGATTCACAATTCCAGGAACATGGCTAATAGTAGAATTTAAAAATGGTGGGAAAATGGTGGATTGTAAATTGTAAAACTGGCGGCAGAATTCATGACCAGCGTCACCTATAACGAAATCGATAAAAACCTTGTCCATAACCATATCGGTAAAAACATCTCATCCATATCTGCAGTCGGTAATACATACGGTCGCTAAAACAGGTCACCCATATCGGCGGGAGGTACGTAGCGTGGACACGAACCCACAATCTGTTTTACTGACTGGGCTTGCATCCCCCCTGTTTAACTACTGCAATGTGTAATACAACCTAGTTATGTATGTTAGAATAATATTTCATTCCATGTCAAACGAAAGTTATTGAGACAAGATGAAAATTCATTCTATGAAACCTACCTTTCATTTCGGGTATGGCCGAATGGCGTATTTTTTTTTTCTTTACCAAGTCATTGCTAAATGTATACGATATTATTACAATAACACAATCCTATTATATTGGTTATTGTTTGGTTTTTTTCTATTAAAAAAGTGACACTTTTATAATTATTTTACCGCATTATTAGAGTTACTTTACAGCATAACCACTGTAAATTGACTGTATAACATAAGTAAACAAGCTAGCCAATCTGACTATAGTAATATCCAACTGTTGCCTCGATTTCACGACATGTGCTTTTATGCAGAGTATTCACTATAATTCTATCCTATAGGCAACATTGAAACTGCGATAATAACTTTCAAGGAGTGTTAGCGAAAAGATCTGATAAGAACTCAATTTTTTAGAATCGAGTGAAAACCAATAATCAAAGAAAATCAATCATTTTAATAGCGGAAAGCCAAAAAATATACAACATAATAACAAATTTTCATTACTAAAATGTAAATATACACACACGTTTAACTGAACCTACTTCCATTTTTACAATTTTACGTAAGCATCGGCAATTTTTTCTTCAAAACAAGAAGAATTATAATGTTTTAGTGTAACGTTGAGATCTCGATGTCTATTTAACGTTTGAGCTAATAATAACTCGTTGTGAGTAATCATAATTGTCGTATTAAGAGTGCGAATAGATTTTAATCCCAAGGCATAAGGAGGCTTCTTTTTATTGCTACGTTCATAAAATTCACGCAATACTTTATTGATTGTATCAATCTTACAAGAAATCAAAAACGTATTTTGTACCACAGTATTTTGTTTTATGGTCACGGAAAAATTGGAATTCGTTGTGCTGTTGTATAACTTATCGCGATGTAATGCCAACTTCACAATTTGCGGATACAGACCATCGAATAGTTTACCCATTCTTAAGATCTTGATAGATGTATTCCGGTGCTTGGTCTGAATAGATAAAGGAAGTTCTCTGTCGATCATATTTATGTGTTTGACCTGTAATTGCATCAATTCGCTCGACCGCAAATTCGTTAACAAAGTCAACACAATAGCAATTTGAGTATCGACGATTCGTCTAGGTCGAAGTCTAGTACATTCTAAAATATTTGTTTCTGTAATATCTTTAACAATGTCGAGTAACATTTTCATGGTGCCCATGAATGTATCTTGATCTATAGGTTTCTCTGAGATCATAGTTATTATTATCTTTAAAACCTCGAATCACTAATCGCGCTTTGTATTTAATTTGATTGTCATTTTCAATTTTCTTTTTGAAAACCCACCTAATAGAGTCTATGATATTTAATCTTTTACCGTTTTTCATTTTAATAAGTCGGTCAACTAATGTCCACACACTATTTTTATTCATAGAATTCAGCTCATCATTCACAGCATTTTGCCAAAATTCCCGTTCTTTTGATTTCATAGCATCTTTAAAAGATATTGGATCTTGTTGAATACCCGCTAACATTGCATGACAAATTTTATCCTGGGTTTCACTCGTCTCGCAATCTATTCTCTCGCCAAAAACTAGGTTAGCATCCATTTTATCGTTTACATCAATTATTTCCGAAAAACTATTATCTTTAATGGAGTTCCCGTTATTAATTTTCGCATCTGTTAAACTATTTTGCTGTTTCTTCGGTCGTCCTCTCTTTCTTTTCGTCTCTCCCTCCGGTTTTAAAAATTCTAACTCATCTTTATTAAATTCAACAAATCACTTCTCTTTATTAACTGATAATTTTTCAACCGGCCAATCTTTCACACCATTTTTATCATACTTATCACCACACACCAGTTTTTCATTAAAACGAGCATCTCTACTTTCATAAAATTTCCCTTCTTCCGGTTTCAAGAACTGATAACCAGTAGGTGTATATCCTACCAAAATTACGCGTCTCCCTTCGAACCTAAACTTAGGACCAGTTTTTGTTTGTACTTTAATATATGCTACGCAACCAAAACGTCTCAATTGATTAATGTCAAAATTGTGATTCGGTGCAAACCTTTGTAAAGGTGTTATCATATCGTTAGACTTGTGAGGCGTTCGGTTGTAAGCATATACAGCAGCACTTAAAGCAAGATCCCACATATTTTCAGGTAATTTCGCATCATACATGTAGGCTCTTACTTTCTTTTGTATCGTTTGATTGAACCTTTCGGCTACCCCGTTGTGTTCAGGTGTATCAGGACTTGCTAATTGTTGTTCTGCCCCTAAAGTTTTTAACACCTCGAGCGTGTATCCCCCTGTATACTCAGTACCCTGATCTGTACGTAAATAGCATACTTTCGCGTCTCTACCCAACAAATTTCTTGCACTTCTTACAAAAGCCTCAAAACGGTGACCCGTTTCACTTTTTGCTTTCATTGGATATGCCATTGCTAGTCTAGAATAATCATCCACAAAAACTGAAATGAATTTATATCCTTTTGGATGAGATATTGGACTTATAGGCCCCATAGTATCAGAATGAATTATTTGAAGAGGTTCAGTTGCCCGTCGACGCGTTGAGTTGAATGGTTTTTTATTGAATTTCGCAATCATACATACTTCGCAATCTAAAATAGTATCATCGAAAATCGCGGTTCTAAGATTTGCATTTTCTGGAAATTTACTCTGAAGAGCTTTTAAATAACTAATAGACGCATGACCCAACCTTACATGCCAAAGCATAGCTTTTTTATTTTTAGCAAAACTTTTGTAGTTTTCATCGAATGGAGACTCTTTCTCTGATAATTCAACAATAGGTAATTCATCTATATCATGAAATTTTCTATCCCAGATAGACGTGTCAAAGTTTGAATTTTCATAAACAAATTTATTTTCACTCTCTACTACGGATTTTACCTTTTCAGATTCTACAACCAAGTCATTATTATCTACATGTAACTTTTCTACTGGTAACTCATCTCTTTCATTATCATTACATTCATTATCACCACTAGAATCAATATCGTTTTTAACCTCATCTCGTACCTGTTCGACTGCGTTTGAATTTTCACTCTTCTCTAAAATTTCTTTCGCAGTCACACTCCTCGTTTTATATCTTATTTCATTACAACCATCCGATCTATCTGAAGTTAGATTTGCAATTATTTTTCTATTTATAAAGCTATTCCCATCATTACTCTGACTATTATTAATTTCAAATTCTATTATCCAATAAGGTTTGTTATAAACTCCAGTAATAAATGATTCATTTGAAACAGGATCAAAAATGTCAATTTCTTTACTGTCTAGATAAATACTAAATCCCATTTCTGCAAATTTTCTAAGTGATAATAAATTATCGGATAAAGCTTCTGCATATATAAAATTTTCTATTTCGATCGATTTATTATTATTTAATAAAAACTCGACTTTACCCGCTCCCTCCGTTCTCAAATCTGCGGATTCGTTTTTATTAGCGCATCTAATTTTACCATGATCTGATTCATCAAAGGATTTGAATATTATTTTACTATTAGTTAAATGTTCTGTTGCACCCGAATCAGCAAGAAATTTTGTAAATATTTTACTTTGTTCAGAAACATCTTTAAATTTGCAACTGTTATCATCAAGATCGGACTGTTGTAAATAATACTGACTATGATTAGTTGGAAGATTCTCAAAAGACATCTTACCTTTATCTTGTTTAGTTTCAGTGAAATTCGCACCTACGTCTTTCTCCTTTGACTTCTGTCGAATCCTCTTATCATTGTTTCGGAAATTTTTATAACCTCCTCTTCCTCGATTGGATTTGAATCTTTTCGCATCTCCACCTCTCTCATTATTATTCTTCCGTTTCCAATTTTGTCTTCCAGTATTTTGGAAAGCTTTCGACCTTTTCATAGCGTTAGAACGTCCTCTGGCGAAACCACGGCTACACCCTCTACCTCTTTCACCATGGGATTGTTTTGTTTTCTTCAAAGGACAGTCGGCTGCTTTATGGTTGGTCACTGCCCACACCCATAACATTTTTTCAGTCCTGTCCCTCGCCATGGACAATGAATTGCTATATGACCCAGATCATCACACTCATAACATCTGTCTAAGCAATCACGTCCTTGATGAGCTCGCATTACAGTTCCTGTGGTCTCAGACGCTGTTGCATGGTTTTTATTAGCTTCTGCTTGTAATATGAAAAGTTTTAATTTTTCATAACTAAGCCCTTGACCAGTCGAAGACATTGTCATGAATTCAACTGATTGAACATCAGGAACGGTGGTCATAATAGCACATAAAAGGCGTCTTTCTTTTCAAGTTCTGACAATAAAATCTGAAGCTTTTTCTTTATTTGGAAAATATTGCATATTATGCAATAGTCTTCTGAGTGTACTTGAAGAATTATTACTTTCAGGTTTTCTTAAGGTCTTTAATTGTATTTAAAAGTTCTACCGGATCTTTTATTCCAATAACTTGAGAATGATACTTATGATCTAAATGATTAATTAAAATGTCTCGAACTTTGAATTTATGTTTTTCAATAATATCAGTATCAAGATCTCTACGCGGAGCGCTAGTCGGATCAATTACATACAGTAATTCATGAGCTCTTAATTCCGATGTAAAAAGATCATAAAAATGTTCAAACTTTGTATTTGGTGTAAGTTTATAATCTCGTTTCACACCCCCATCTTTACTAATAATTCCTACTTTTAATAGGACAGTCGGCTGCTTTATGGTTGGTCACTTGCCCACACCCATAACATTTTTTCAGTCCTGTCCCTCTCCATGGACAATGAATTGCTATATGACCCAGATCATCACACTCATAACATCTGTCTAAGCAATCACGTCCTTGATGAGCTTGCATTACAGTTCCTGTGGTCTCAGACGCTGTTGCATGGTTTTTATTAGCTTCTGCTTGTAATATGAAAAGTTTTAATTTTTCATAACTAAGCCCTTGACCAGTCGAAGACATTGTCATGAATTCAACTGATTGAACATCAGGAACGGTGGTCATAATAGCACTATAAAATGCGTCTTTCTTTTCAAGTTCTGACAGTGGCTTAATACCAGACAAATTTCCGTAATTTCTAACAACATCTTTAAATTTTTCAATAAAATCTGAAGCTTTTTCTTTATTTGGATAATATTGCATATTATGCAATAGTCTTCTGAGTATACTTATGATCTAAATGATTAATTAAAATGTCTCGAACTTTGAATTTATGTTTTTCAATAATATCAGTATCAAGATCTCTACGCGGAGCGCTAGTCGGATCAATTACTTACAGTAATTCATGAGCTCTTAATTCCGATGTAAAAAGATCATAAAAATGTTCAAACTTTGTATTTGGTGTAAGTTTATAATCTCGTTTCATACCCCCATCTTTACTAATAATTTCTACTTTTAATGTTTCTTTAATTTTATTTGCTAAACTGTCAGAATTTTGAAATATGCTTACACTTCTGTCTACTTTTAACTTTTTAAACTCTTGTTGTACTAATTTAGAAACTTGATTTTTCAATTCTCCAAGTTCACTACTAGAAGTACCACCGTTCGATCTGCTCTCATCTCTATCAACTAATTTTTGATAATGCTCATGCATTTTACTGCATTAATTATTCACATCTTTTATTTGCTTACGGATCTCATTATTTTTGTCTTCAAGGGTTTTTGTTTGTTTAACAAAAACATCTTTTTGTTTATTGAACTCGTCAATAATCAAACCTTGAATTTTTTCCATTTTAGCAACAGCTGCCTGAGCACCTAACAGAGATTCCTGGCATTGCTTCATCATATTGGTAGAGGATTCGCAAAATTGCCTCACTAGAGATAACACTTCGTCTTTATTAGTGTTACTCTCCACAATTTGTGAAGCAGTACCAGGTAGCGCTTCAATTTCATTATTTTTTGCAACTATATTAGTGTAAAATGCTGAAAGAGCAAAAAAACTAAGGATCAGGTTTCGGTCTGGTTATCTCAATTAAAATACAAAAATTATTATTAAAAATAACACTAGAGATTTATTTAACTATAAATACAATCAATATTTAACTTGTTTAATAGCGGATTGGTTAAATAAAAGCGGATATGTTATACACAGCGTGGTTAGCAAAAGCGAAGCCGTTTAGCACGTGGTTGAGTAAACTGCCGGCACTGTAAAAAGCGGTAATTACTACACAATTAATTCTAATTAATCTGAAACAAACTAAATAAATTAAATGCAATCAATTAAAGCGAATTAAACTATAAGAAATAGCGAACAGCGGTTAATTAGCAAGGCGAAAATTATATATGCGAAAAAGCGACTTGTTCGTACGAAAGATGGATGCGAAAGAGATATAATAATAATTCGTCTTCTTCCTCGTCTTGGAGAAGAAGGCTACTGCGCATGTCTAGCGAGAGCGATAGCCAATCAATAAATTCGTTCTATTGATGTCGACATCGATAACCAATGGTAAAATTCGATACCTGTGGCGTGATCAGTCAGGCGGTTTACGCATGCGGGTGAGAAATAGCGGGAACGATGGCTTGTCAGGTGCGTGTTGTAAATTTGGGGAGCCCACAGTGACGTATTGCTCACTGAGTGGGCCTGTTCACTGAACAATTAGAAACGGAAAAATGTTTTGATTTAATTTTATAATTAAGATTAACTGATTCTATTAATTTAATTGATGGTAAAGATTAACCTCCTTGGGATAAGTCTGCTTTGTTTAACAGTGTACTTTCTTTGTCACATCTCTTTTTCTCGCATCTCTCTCTCTCGGCCTCATCTCCACTCTCAATCGCATCTCTTAATAATGTCTCCTCATCTTCCTGAGACACAGATTTTTAGTCATCATCTCCTGGTGAGACTACCCAAGGACTATCTCCTTCTTGTTTCTCAATCCACTTAATAGCGGCTCTCCACTCGTCCTCGTTCATATTGCTTTTATCTGTTAAACAAATTAATTTTTAATTAATAATATTCTTATACCAGGAGCTATGCCTTAAGCCTGGTTGACTGAACAACAAGTATGGCCAGGTTAAAGCAAGCAGTAATATATATAATCCCAACACAAGATCATACATACAACCACTTCAGTAATTCAAGAAGTAAATGAATACACAGCATCCATCACTAAGTATGAATCACAAAGTAAAACCTTGTATTTATTTTTGAACATACAAGTTAATTATTATTCATTATTGTCAAAAATTAATTTTGAATTAGATGACCTTAAGTGAGAAAATCCAAATAATTGGATTAATTCTCAATATTTTTATGTACATAAAATTTATGATTTTCAACCAACCTGCTTGATAAGGTACCTCACGCGTCTCAACATGAAATAACACTCTCTCACCACTAATACTTAGTGATATTTCCTCTCCAGGATGGTTTTGTTCAAATTGAAAAACTTTTCTGTATCTTTCCAAGAATTTTTTAAATAATTCCTCGTCTCTAATTTCTGCAGTTAAATATATAGCTATTAATATTTTTATTTATTTGTGTGCACACTATTAAAATTGTAACTCTATACAACTTTAATTTATATTTATACATAAGTATAAAATTTCGTTAAATCAATATAACTTTTCAGAATTTAATCTGATAAATAAACCGCGTCATTTGGATACAAGTTAAATATTTAAACGTTGGTTTAAATTTCTATTTAAACCAGTTTTAATCTTCATAAACGTATAAACGTATGAATTCACTCTCAATATTTTTCTCAAAGTAAACATTGAGTAACAAAGGCGCATCTCAGTCTTTTCAAAATATCCAACAACCCAACGATTGTTCGATGCTGTTACCATGTGCGCTTGGCCCCATGTGTAACGTTTCAGGTTACATAGTTCTCAAAAGTAATAAAACTTGGTTTCAACACTTCTATATACAACATGTAACATGAACATTTTAACAGGCAAGGAATATTACAATATTCCTTCCTAGTTAACAAATAAAAATTCTGCCAAATTTATAATTTAAAATTTTTAAATTACGTACGTATTTTTCGCTTCTTAAAAATTCATGCTCATCTCTTAAATATTCTAACACATCTCAAATATAAAAATTTTCTTTCATATTACTTACGTTGACCGTTGTCATGGTCAAACTTTCCAACAGAAGACGCTTCTTCTGACATTTCTGCAATTTTTCAAAACTTGAATTGTTCAAAACTTCAAATCTTGATTATTCACTTCAGTTCACTTAAACAATTCACCTCACGTTAGTCACTTATGTTCTCGAGAACTTCAAAGTTTCTTATTGAACGTAATAATTATTTATTGCTTAAAATTTTGAAAGTTTTTTAATTTATTAATTTTGCGCAGTGGACACGTGTACGGCTCATAACCTGTTAGAATTAGGTAGGGCCTTTTAAATAAACAATACCAAGTAATAGTTAAGAGTATTTATTAATATGTGCATCCGCACTTTACCAAAACTCAATCGGAAGTAAGTGGTGGTACAGTTCTCAAATCTCATCTCAAGCAGGGATCATGACATCACATGACCTCCCCACTACTCATGGGGTAAGACGGTTAGGCGTTACTTCCAACAACGTGAAATATATAAAAATATATTTCACGTATGTTTTAATATATATTATAATTACAGTACTTTTGGCCGTTTTTTGTATATAAAAAATATATTTCTGATATACGAAAAATATATGCAAAATATATTTGTTTGTATAATAAATATAAATGTCGAATATATCAGAATATATCAAAAAATATACTCAGAATGTATTTTAAATATTAGCAGCGTTATATAATGAAAATATTTTCCAGACTCTATTTTCTATATATTTTAAATATAATTAAAATATACGTCAAATATACTAAAGTCTATAGGACAAAATTGACAGCCCGAAATTTTTGACTTTGTTAACTTGAGAACATGGCTGTATTACAGGTCTAGTCATAAAATCTCTTCTCACAGTTATCAACGACATCTGTACTCAATTATATTTCTATTCGAAATCATATTCATTCAGTCACAACTTTATTCAATCAAATCTTTACTTTGATTCAACTTTACTTAATATTACTTGCTTTCAGGTAAAACTTTAATCAGTAACAACCTTACTCAAATTCAACAGTAGTCAATTACAACTTTGCTCAGTTTCAACTGTATTCATTTTCGAGTCTATTCACGGAATTTTTAACTCAGCTACATCTGTATTCACAATGAACTTATTCACTTAAATTCGTAATCATTTACAACTGTACTAAAGTTCATCTCTACTCACAAATTTATGGTTACTTGATAAAGTAAAAATTCGTGAGTAGAGATGAACTTGAGTACAGTTGTGAATGATAACAAATTTAAGTGATTGAATTCTTTGTGAATAGAAATGTAACTGAGTTAAAAATTCAGTGCGTGAGTAGAGATTTTATGAGTAGACCTGTAACACAGCCGAGAAAATTTGCCAGTGCATGGTTACAATGTTTGTTCCGGAAAACTTTAAACTAGGCCAGTTTCTTGTACGGTTCAAAATCTCGGGCTGTCAATTTTGTTCTATAAACTTTAATTATATTTTACGTATTTTTTAATTATATTTAAAATGTATAAAAAATAGAGTCTAGAAATTATTTTCATTATATAAAGCTGCTAATATTTGAAATACATTCTGAGTATATTTTTTATATATTCGACATTAATATTTATCATATAAAAAAATAGATTTTGCGTATATTTTTCTTATATCAGAAATATATTTTTTATATACAAAAAACGGCCAAAAGTACTGTAATTAGAATATATTTTAAATATACGTGAAATATATTTTTATGTATTTCACGTGTATAACTATATAATAAATATATTTTATTTATATTCAAAATATAAAATGACATATATTTTTAATATATCCAAAATATGTATTATTTTCATGGGGGTGTAGACATCGCACTCAAATTTTCAGATATAATATTATTAGTGACACTTGAATCATAAACACTAAACTCTTAAAATATTAATTCTCAATGTCTTTTATCACCAAATTCAATTATGCATTATTGTGTTATAATTCAGGAAAAACGCTATTCGGCAGTCGAAATGGAAGTAGATTTCACAGTAAATCTAAAATCTACTACGATCATACACACGTCTACGTACTTTAAGTACATCGTAACAGTTACAAATGAAATAGTGTAAATCTAAAATAATCAATGACTACGACAACTTTGATTGATGTATATTTCAACATGACTTAAAGAATCATTTATCCGACAAATGCACGAGTAAAATTTCATCAAACAGATAGAGAAAATAAGTGATTTTTGGGCTTAGGCCAATGGTTAGACATGCAAATAAGAGCTCAATAAGCTTTTAGATGGAATTGACAGAAATTTGGTAGGATATCGCGTTCAATTGTTATTGTACGAAAAAATAGTGAAAGCGGAAATTCTTTCAATTTCAAAAAATATTGAAATTCCTGTCATATTTAAACTAGTCGACCGACTCGTCTCATCTTGAAATTTAACCTCGAAAATCGTCTAAAGAATGAGTAGGTTACGTTTCATTAAGATCCATTTAGAGTTGAGAGAGTTATAGTTAAATAGTACTTAGTACTACACAATCTGGTGGCTAAAAACGTAACTACTCCCAGGGTGTCAGGTATGTTGTTATTATACTGATTTAGATAGTAAATTTATCTGATATTACGAATAATTGCACGTCTCAACACGAAGCGTTTGAGTAGTACTTTACTCTCACTCTCTCAAGGTCGAGTGATTATCTCGGATTGAATTGTTTTTATCCGATCTTTTTTGCACTTTGAGTGTTAAATGAGTTGACAAATATCAACAAGAACACTTTTTTATGACAGTAAATACTTTAAAAACACATTTCTATATCGTTCAAAAAAATATTTCGGTAAACGTCAGGTTGTCTGTAGGTGCGAATGATGTATGTGATCACGATAACGCTTAAAAAACTACACAAACATTAGGGTGTGCCAAAAAAAGACGATATTTTTTTTTTTTGCTCTTAATCCAAAATATCTTAGAAGATGTCCCAACAAAGCTCCTGTTAAAAGCGGAGCTCAAAATTCCAATTCTAAGATGTCCTCCATCGAATTTGAAGTTTTTCCGTTTAAATAACATGGGAAACATGATTTTTTATTAGTTTTTTGTCCTGCAAACTGTGATGAAATTATTTTTCAAAGAAACGAATGGATGGACCTCGTTTATTATTAAATTTGCTACAAAAAATTCCACTGAGTCGAATTTCTATCTTCAATATTTGATTTGTTACATAGCTTTGAAATTCAAATTTCCGGTTTTTTGCCTTTTTTATCTAAACTGTAAGAGTTAGACAAAAATGTTAAATGGCAAATTTGTAGTACTTTTAATATTCTATAAAAAAGTTTTTGTCAATTTTTTCATATCATCAATAACAACGAAGTTACAGGCTCATGTATATTTATTTTTTCAAATTTTCACTTCTACGAACTGAAATATCGATAATTATGCAAAAAATTTGGTAAAAATTTGTTAACACATCAAACTTACAACAAAATTTGGTGTGTAAGATGTTTCGTAGTATCAAACCATAAAATTTACAGACTAAGTCAGTCATATTTTTATGAATTTTCAACTATTTTATACAATATATTGATAAAGGACATAAAATGGCATTAAGATATCAAAAGCATGTACAATTCACAATATAATTGCAGTTATTTTTAGTTCAATAATTTTTAACATTAGCTTAAAATATGAAAATGTTTATATTTTTACTATCTCTTTATTATTTGAATTTAAATTGTTTTGAGAACTTGCTTTTAGCGCCCTCTGTACATTTATCGATTTCCGCGCCATTGATCACTTACCGCTTGATTAATTCAATTAGTAGATTCTATTGTCTTTTGCTTTAATTAGTCCTTAATTGGTTCGGTTTTTAGGTTAGTTTTTAGCTAATTATTGCAACAACAGTAACCCGTGTATCTTTTTCATAGAATAGAACAATGTCTGAAAAAACAAACCAACGGAACTACATAAATTAAGTTGGCTTTGAGTCAAAAAATTTAAATGGTTCAAAATTACCTCCAAAGCGCGATGTTTTATCTTTGTTTTTTTATATACATCGAACAAAAGAGTTTGGAATTCGCGAGAGTTCCAAATTCGTTCTTTGTGAAGTTGTTAAAGTATGGCATAAATTTTTGCTCCCTGTAAATAATTCACATTAATCCATGGTGAGAATCGAAAAATTATACAAAGACTGGCAAAAAACGCAAGTTCACAAAGCTAGAAAAAAATCTCCTGCACAAAAATTAGTTGAGATGAATTTCATTGACTCTCTAGATTGCTTATTCGATATTGCTCCGCAAAATGCTTTGCAAAACTTAAGTTCTCCCCAAAAAAAATATTTAAGTGATAGTCGAGAAATTCGTAAAGGCAGTCAGTTGTTAACAATTTCAAGAAATGTACAAGAGGTACAAAGTACATCAACTGTTGACCTAGAAAATTACTTGAATATTGTTCAGGTGGGAAGTTCAGAATCAAATTCAGACGCCATTGAAACTGATATAGCAGGTATTTTAGATATTTACTACTCACTTTTAATTTTTTCTAATGTTTTCTCTTCTCATGAAATTTTATACACTTTTCATATAATTTCTTTTTTTACGTGTATTGCTTTTGAAACTCTATTATTATAACAAAAATTTTTCTCACACTATATTTTCGGTGCTGATTTCAATCATTTAATAATTAATGATTATCTAATCAGCAATTTATTTTCACTCTACTCTAATATTTTCCAGAATTAAATAAATTTAAACAAACATACTTTTACAGTAATATAAAGTTAAAATTACTTTGTTTTTTGCAATTTACACATTAAGATTGACTTTAACTCCGTGGCAAATCATCGTGCAGGCTTTTCAATTACGTCAAATCGAAGGAAATTGAATATTCTAAAAGAGCTTTTAAGTAAAATAATCGAAAAAAAAATTTTTTGAAGCCCGTAAACTTTTTTTTAGACGAGAAAAAAATTAGAAATTTTTTTTTTTGTAGTTTCCTTAGGATTTCTCCAAAACCAAACATGATAAGAAATTTTCATGGTCATACCTGAAAACTAGATACTTAGAGCTACAATTGCTTTTTTTTTTGTTGTACGATCATTTTACTTGAA